CCCCAACACTCTGTGTGATTCTGAGCGAAACCGTCTCTCATCCCTTGGCAGTGATGCCGTGGGGCAGGTACGGCTGATACCCCATGGTGGTTTCTTCAGATCTTGCCTCTCACGTGTGCTCTTGTCTGTTTTCTGCAGGGACACGGCAGGGCAGGAGCGATTTCACACCATCACCACCTCCTACTACAGAGGTGCCATGGGGATCATGCTAGTATACGACATCACCAACGCCAAGAGCTTTGAAAACATCAGCAAGTGGCTCAGAAACATAGATGAGGTGAGTAATGTTTGCAAGATCCTGGGACTGAGCTGCTTGTTGTGACACGTAGAGCTACATCTGAGATAATGGTGTCCTGAAATGCCAAATTCATCCCTGAGCGAACTTTGTGCTGGAGAATATTTGGAGGTAAGGAATACACCTTGCAGTAGCTGGGAGTTGCCATTTTCCGGAGGAGGTGCCGCAGCAAGGGAGCTGTAGGCTGTGTTACTTGTCGTAACTGTTTAATGAGGACAGCTACGGGACGTTGGACTAGATGATCTCTAAGGTCCCTTCCAGCCTAGGCCAGTCTATGATGTAAATCCTCAAAGATTCTGATCACCTCAAAATTGACTTTGTGAAATCTTTGCAAGCTTATTGTGGCTGGCACAGGTAGCGTGGCGTGCTGCTGGCATGGTGTATTAGCAAGCTACTTCAACCTGCAGAGCTGGTTTTTGTCCTTGTTAGAGGGGTGCAGAACAAGGAGCAAGTAAAAACTTCCAGCAAGGTCAAGTGAAGCAGAAGGAACTGCTGTGGGAACCGTTTGGTGCTGGGATCCCCACGAGTTTGTTCTCCGGGAGTTCTGAGGTGTTAGAGGGCAGCACGACTCTTGGTTCTTGCTCTTGTTGCACCATTCCCAGATGGAATAAATGTTTGGATTTTCCAGTTTTGTTGTTTCTCTAAGAAGCGGGAAGGTGGCCCTGTAGAGGCGGGTGCTGTCAGGTGTGGCTGATTGAAGCACCGAGGCTGCCAAAAGGTTCACACAGAGCAAAAACGTGGTGTCGGGAGTTGAACTTCCTGGTGTGAGCAACGGGAAACTCTGTAGAGTTTACGGCAAAGTTTAGAGGGCTGTGGAGAGGGACCGAGGCCTTTAGATTCAGCGGCTGCTGTGTTGGAAAACAAATAAATGGGGAGTATCCAGGAAGTCTGGAGTAACGGGTGTCACTCACTCCGCGGTGCAGGAGAAGCGAGGGAGGGGTGTCGCTGACGCTGTGTCACGCCAAGCTCCGCAGCCGCTTTCAGGTGCGTTGCGAAGGCTGCGTGGTCAGTTCTACGAGGGAGCTTTGGCACTTTTCTGTTTGGAATAAGCTCGCTGACGGGAGGCGGTTGCAGAAACAAGGGGTGAAGTCACCCTCGGAGGTTCCAGGCGCAGCGCGGAGGCAGGTGGTACCCCCTCACCTCCGGGATTATTGCAAAGGAGAGTTGTGAATGGAGCCGCCGAGCGCTTGGGTTTTACGAGCAGTTAATATCGCCGAGGATATTCTCTCGGGGAGGAGAATTTTCGATTCGCGAGCTGCTGTTCTGTGCGAGGAGGCTCTTCTACAGGGTACTTAAGCCTTGGTTTGGAAATAGCCAGGAAACCTAGTGCTGTTACACATTTAGACCTTGATGAAATGCTTAATTATTTAAAGTTCAGACGTCCTGCAGAGGCGTACCGCGCCGTGCTTGGGGCTCATCGGAGTTTGTTATGTGACTCAAGTGCAGTTTTGCTCGTTGGGGCTGGCTGTGGTTGAAAGGAGCCTGTTGCTGCCTGAGCAGTTCTCTGTGTGTGTGTGTGTTTGTGAAAAATTACCATTTTCAAGTCTTACTCTGCACAATGTCTTACTCTGCCTTTGCTCTCTGGTTGCTCTTCCTCCCTGAGACTCAAAAAAACCTGGGGGTGATTCTCCTGAGGAATGTGCACTGGCATTGTTAGCACAGGCGGGAGCACCAAGTGTGTGGATCCCTTCCCTGTGTAGTTCCATTAGTAGCACCACCGTAAAGGGGTATTAAGACACTTGGAGTGAAAGTAAATTCAGATTAAGCTTTCCAAGAAGCTTCTCATGCCGGATTTCAGAGGACTTCAGTTATCCACTTAAGTGCTGCTTCGTGCTGTGGCTGCTGGAACTTCCCTTCTGGTCTGGGAGAGACCTTCAGCGTGTCCCTCCAGTAACCCAGCAGCAGAGGTGGTTTTGCTCCCTCAGCATGCCTTGAGAGAGCCTTGGCGCCCACTTTTTGCCTTACTGAGGTGATTCTCTGCGTACCTGCTCCCGCTTTTCTTTGGGGCCCAAATGTTAGGGTCACTTTGGATTTCCCTGTGTGATGTCCTCGTTTGTGACACGATGGTAGGGAGCTGGAATTGCCCTGTGGTAGTTCACTCAGTAACTCCTCTAAAGAAAAATTCCAAGCTAAAGGGTTTTTTTTAACTAACTCCCTGGTTCAGAGGAGGCCCCAAAGCTGAGCCAGGGGCTGGAGCAGCTCTGCGGCGAGGACAGGCTGCGGGAGCTGGGGTTGTGCAGCTGGAGCAGAGCAGACTCCGGGGGCACCTTCTCCCTGCCTGCAGTGCCTGAAGGGAACCTGCAGGGAGCCTGGGCAGGGACTGGGTACAAGAGTGTCCAGCGACAGCACAAGGGGAAATGGGCTGAAACTGCAGGAGAATGGGTTTCGCTGGGATCTGAGGGAGAAATTCTTGCGTGCGAGGGTGGCCAGACTCTGGGCTAGATTGCCCAGAGGGGCTGGTGCTGCCCCCTCCCTGGAGATGTCCAAGGCCAGGTTGGATGAACCTGGAGCAACCTGGGCTGGTTCAGGGCGTCCCTGCCCATGGCAGGGGGTGGGTTAGAGCATCTCTGTGCTCCCTTCCAGCCTAAGGCAGTTATATTCTATGATTATCTGGCTTCGCAGTGGTTGAAAGCACAGTGGCAATTGTTAAGGGAACTGAGTCTATCTGCAGTAAAACTATGCGAAGGACTTTTTAAACACCAAAAAAAGTAGCAGAGTCAGCCAGAGCTGCTCGATCTGTCAGGAGCTGTAAACGTGGGGTGATTCCTGCCCTGTAATATTTGGTAGCATTGTTTCCGTGACGTGCTTGGCCAGCACTCGTAAAAGCCGACACCTCAACGTGCAGGAAGCCGGTTCTTTTCCCACGTCACTGAATGCAAAGTACCAAAAAATTGTAGTAGGCTGCCCTCTACAACTCCCTAAAAGGAGGCTGTAGTGAGGCTGGGGCTGGTCTCTTCTCTCTAATTTCTAATGACAGGACAAAG